ATAGCTTTGTAGGAATATCTGATATTGTCAAAAATTAAATATTTAGATGAACCATTTTCAGTTCTAGATAGCAAATCCAAATCTGGGTCTAGAAAATAAATGGCTGATCTGAAACCCTATTTATGTTATCAAATAAGGAGACATACATAGATGACACATTACACTAACTAGATCATTTTCTTTTTCTCTTGCATTATTTGCCTTCTATTTTTCCTGAATGTAAATTTGCCTCTTTTTGTAAAACTTAATGTAAAATAAATTGGTCTGTTATACATTTTCACACATTATACTTTTAGTATTCTAGTACTTTAATTATGTTGAAAATATTCTGAAAGACTTTTTCCCCATTGTTAAAGAACGTAACAGAATTTTAGATGTGGTTTTTCTACACTGACATTATTAGCAGGGGAAGGGAAATTCAAAACTGATGTGTGGAAGTTCTTGAATTGAATTTAAAATGAAAAATGAGGTATCCAATCTGTACATATTTATAATCCAAAGTATGAGACCCAGATTGGTGCAGTGTTTAATGCATCAGGCTAAAAACTGGGGGACTATGAATTCTAATCCTGATTAGGCTCAAAGTCAAATGTGTGACCCTCAGCCAGTTATTTTCCCCCAGTGCTAGGAACTAACCTTGACTGAACACACACATGCATAGGTGACAAATATAATATGTAGGCTATATATATATATGGTCTTGTTGTATTTGGGTCTTTTCCCATGTAAGATATATATATCTTACAATCTCAAACAATCTCAATCTTACACGGGAAAATACCTGAATACAACAAGACCAGCATACCTACACCCGTGAAAATCTACGAATATATAGATAATAGATAATAGATAATAGATAATAGATAATAGATAATAGATAATAGATAATAGATAATAGATAATAGATAATAGATAATAGATTTTATAAATAATAAATTAATTATTTAATAAATTAATAAATACATAAAGAATAAATTAATAAAGAATAAATACATAGATAGATAAATAGATAAATACGGTAGAGCCTCTTTGTGGATGACCTCGCGAACACGCTTGTCCCAAAAGAAAAAAGAAAGATGAAAGGAAAGAAAGAAAAGAGGGCTGGGCGGAGCTTCTAAAGAAGCGAGGGAGGAGAGG